AAAAAAAAAAAAAAAAAAAAAAACACAAAAACCATCAAATTTTTGTGTTTTTGTTTGTTTTGGTTTGTTTTTTTTTTAGATGGAGTCTCGTTCTATTGCCAAGGCTGACGCGATCTCAGGTCACTCCAGCCTCCGCCTCCGGGTTCAAGCAATTCTCCTGCCTCAACCTCCCAAGTAGCTGGGACTACAGCCATGTGCCATCACACCTGGCTAATTTTTGTATTTTTAGTGGAGACAGAGTTTTACCATGTTGGCCAGGCTGGTCTCAAACTCCTGACCTCAGGTGATCCACCCACCCTGGCCTTCCAAAGTGCTGGGATTACAGGCTTGAGCCTCTTTGCCTAGCCTTTATGTTCTTTATGAATGTCCATGGTTAAAAATTTAGACTGTGATTAAGTGTATACATTGTAGTAAGTCTCCTTCATTACTATTCCCCACCCTCCCACTTCACCTCACAAGAGGCAACCACTGTTATCAGTTTCTTGAGCATTCTAAAGATACGTTATGTGTATACAGGTACGTAGCATAATGTATACAATCTTCTGAATCATGGATTTACACATGTGAATGAAAACATTTTTAGGTACTCACTGTGGAATTGCCATTCTAAGCAAAAGGATATAGTTGTGAACAAAGCAAGTAAATTCCACTGGAGCTGATAATTCCAGTTTTGGGGAAGACACATAATAATCAGATAAACCAATAAACATGTCAGGAGGTAGTAAAATTACAAAGAAAAGTCAGTCAGGATAAAGGAAGAAAGTGTTGGCACTAAGGACATGGGACTGTTTTAGATAGGAAAGTCAGGAAAAGCTTATCCTATCCAAAAAGAACAAAGACCTGAATGGGGAAAGTGCATCCAGACAGAAGGAAAAGTAAAAGTCCCAGAGCTAGGAATGTGCTCTAGGGCTTTTGAGTATTTGATGGAAAGTAAGGAAAGAAGAGAGTGTTCAATGATGAAGTCAAGCTGTAATAATATATCTTAAGGATTATTATAATAAAAAAAATGTTGGCCAGGCATGGTGGCTCACACCTGTAATCTCATCCCTTTGGGAGGCCGAGGCAGGAGGATCACTTGAGGCCAGGAGTTTGAGACCAGCCTGGACAACATGATAAAACCCCATCTCTACTAAAAATACAAAAATTAGCTGACTATGGTGGTGCACACCTGTAGTCCTTAGTCCCAGCTACTCAGAGAATCACTTGAACCAGGAGGTGGAGGTTGCAGTGAGCCAAGATTGTACCACTGCACGGGGCAGAGCAAGACTCTGTCTCAAAAACAAAAAAAAAGTTGAACTTCCTGTATCATTAACTACATGGATGTACTATAATTTAATCTATGTCCTGAAGATAAATATACATTTTATAATTTTGTGCTATTAAAAATGGTATAGAAGCCAGGCGTGGTGGCTCATGCCTGTAATCCAAGCACTTTGGGAGGCCAAGGCAGGCGGATCACGAGGTCAAGAGATCGAGACCATCTTAGCCAATGTAGTGAAACCTCATCTCTACTAAAATACAAAAAAATTAGCTGGGCATCGTGGTGTGCACCTGTAGTCCCAACTACTTGGGAGGCTGAGGCAGGAGAATTAGTTGAACCCAGGAGGCAGAGGTTGCAATGAGCTGAGATTGGCCACTTCACTGCAGCCTAATGCCTGTTGACAGAGTGAGACTCTGTATCAAAAAAAAAAGAAAAAATGGTATAGAATACGCCAGGCATGGTGGCTTGCCCCTGTAATCCCAGCACTTTGCGAGGCCAAGATTGGCAGATCACCTGAGGTCAGGAGTTTGAGACTAACCTGGCTAACATGGTGAACCCCATTTCTACTAAACACAAAAAGTTAGCTGGGCATGGTGATGCGCACCTATAGTCCCAGCTACTCGGGAGGCTGAGGCAGGAGAATCACTTGAACCCGGGAGGCAGAGGCTGTAGTGAGCCAAGATCGTGCCCGTTACATGCTAGCCTGGGNAAAAAAAAAAAAAAAAAAAAAAAAATTAGTATAGAATATACTTATGTATTCTTCTATACTTTGTTTATATATGCAAGTATACCTATAGGTTAAATCTGTAGAATTTGAAATTAATTTGCCCTCTAAATAGAGAGGAACCTTTGTAACCTTGATAGATTTAAGCAAGGATCATCAGTAGATACCAAAATATTAAGTAAAGGATTGCTTGAGAAGAGGTTATTCATTTGTGAAGGATTATCTTACAGATTATTTATATTTGAAGGGATAAATATACCTTTACAATGGAGGAACCTGGAATCAAGCCTGTATACCTAACTTCTAGTGTATGGTATATGTCCTAGATAGAACAACAAATTAAATGACTCTGAGAGAAAATAATTAAACAAAATTAGAATGTACTGCATTTTATGAGACAGTTGGCCTAGACTCTTCAAAAACACAGTATCATTTTTAAAAGGTGAGGTGGG